ATTTTCAAATTCATCACCAAAATTCACGTTTTAATAATTAGGGCTCCATTTTTTTGTCTTTTAATATAAGTTCTATATTGAAATTGATCCAATCAATCAAGTAGGAATCGAATTTTAATTTATTTGGATTTAATGCTATTGTCACGCTACATCCTCATTTCGATTGAATAGATGAGTGAATACGGTAGCATCTTATTCAGTCAATTAAAATGTTAAATCGGCATTATTACTAACTGCTAAGAATTGCCTTCCATTTTTTTTACTTATATTTGAACATTTTAGTCAAGTTGAGTGAATAAACCTAATGGAATAGAAGCTTTTCCCTCGAAAGCTTTTATTTTAGTAGCACTTTCTACGTATTGTAATGATTGATAAGTTTCGTGTAGTTTATTCTTAAATTTTTGATTAAGTATCGCATGTTCATGATTAATATATAATCAAGTTTTTATGGAGATTAACATTTCTAGCGATAATTTTATCGGTTATCTCTTTATTTTTATCTGAAAGAAAGAATTTATTAAATGAAAGACCCATCAATTTCTTTAAAGTGGACGATTTGTACTGAAAAGGAATGATCAAATTCTGTTTCTAGCATGTTTCAATTTAAGATCGATATCATTTTGATCTGGTATTTGTTACCGTTATTCCTAAGTTAATTGTACTATTCATCCATGACTTTACCGTTGAAATCCAGCATTACAAATAGCTGTAAATCAGAAGGGAAAAATTTAGTAAGTCGAATGCTAACGAGATTGCAGTTTTTGAATAAGATCTTCATAAAGATACTAAGTGTTCGAGCGAAATCAGTCACTAGACAAGCTAATATTTTCAGTTTATTGGCAAAGTCAATACCTATCCTGTAATAATAAGAATGAACTATATAGTGAAAGTCTTCAATACTATGAATTAATTAATAAGCTTTTACTTTCAGTTTTTTGATTTGTTACTTAAAGAATTGAAATCTATAATCTAAAGAAGTTGTATTATTTTGTTTTAAAAGATAACCGAATTGAACTTGCTTCAGATTACTATCGTTAACTTCGTACCGCAATTCTGATTTTAAATATGATGATTTATCCAATACCGCGAAATCCTCTAAAATTTCAATATTAGTACCTACAGTAATCTTATTTTGTCAATCTGATAATGACGTCGGGAGTTTTATATTACTGCGGGTTGATAGATTTAAAATGATATCATAAAAATGAAGCTTATTAGTTGATATATATTTAGAATACTATATAGACCAATTTATAGTATGTTCTATATGACATAACGTTTGAAGTCAAAGTTCTATTTAATTCCGGTGCTTTAAAACATCGGACTGATTTCATAGGCAAATATTAATAATGATTTTAGGATATCGTTACCAACGGTAACTTTGCATCTTAGTAAATTTGGTAAAGATCCCGATATCTTTATAGCATGTTTGATAATAATTATACATACGTACATATATAATTTAGAGATTACATCATAGAAAATGATTGTATTCATTTAGCTTTCTTTAAATTTAAAGATTAATCCATGTGACAAGTCAATTAATAATTTATTATAACTTAGTTTAGAAATATCAGCGTTGATCTAATTGAACATGATAAAAATAGTTTAAATCAGTATTAAAAGTAACACGGTATACAATATTGCAGCCAAATAAATGAAAAATCTCAGAAATTTTTATTTTATATCGATTGATTTATTATCGATGGAATCATCCTATCGTCGTTAATGTGATCAAGATTTCAATAATTTCACCTTGTGTTAAGAATTTGAGATTTATATTGCATAATTATAGTGGCTGAACGCATTTAATTGGTTTTAATTGAAGGCAAAAAATTAATCGATATCACATAGCAAACTAATAATCATACTCTCTATACGAAATGAGATCTTGCCTTTAGGATAGCAGTATCGATAGTATAGGTCAAGTTTACTGATTGTAACTAATTCATCAAGTTATCAAATCATTGCTAATTTTATAAACTGCATATTAAGAAATTAGATTGTATCTTATCGAAATGTCATCTTTTCGACTGGCTATTTTTGAACAGTGCAGGATTAATTATGTCCCACTAATTTTAAATAATGAGAATAAAACCACACATTTATAATTATATACAAAGGTGGATAAAACTACGTTTATCTACAGTATACCATTTCTATTACTACTTGTATATTGGTAGTTAGTACCTACACGCTATTATGTAACTATAACTAGCAGTAACCTACTCGAATAGTCTCCAAGATTTCTCAAAGAATCATTTCCTGCCGTAGTTAGATGAAATTACATACATTCAACTACATGCTCGTATATCAATAGGCAAAAATTTTCTGAATATCTGTAATATTTTCTTAATCGATCTGGTATTGGCATTAACGTGTCATTTTAGTCCTTTAATAACTAAAAACTCTCCAAAACTCTGCTACCAAACTATTTCGTAATCGTCATTAGAATGGAATTGTATATACCCAAGTGTATCTTAAGATAGGTAAAATTCTAAGTTCGTTTAATAAACTGTTTCCCTGACCAGCATTATTTGTCCTAAAGCAGTATTTTATGACTAAAAGTGGTATTCAAAGGCTTCTATAAAATCATTTTAAATCGTTATTTCTTTAAAATCTACCGCATTGAAGAGCTGCTTGCGTCATATCAGTTGTTCTGGATAAGTAGAGTGTAGAAATCATCAGAGAATGATAGTCATTGTAATCTGTTCCTGATGCTTTAGTCCATTCTATTTTGGACTCAAGATGACATATTGATGATTGTATAAGATCGTAAATATTTATAGCCACCATTCTATCATATTGATAGAATAGAATATTTATTTGTTGGCGTATCATGGCATTAATTTTTAGTAAGAACTCATTGATTTCGCTGGTTGGTCATGACTCTTCAACTAGTAGTCCAATACAATATTTAAATAATTATAAGCCTTGAAATGTTTTATCCGCTTGATTTTTAGAGCAGTTGTCATTTTATTTTACAAGAGGAATATAATAGCCCGCGTGCATTTGAATGGGATTCAATTTAAAGCTATAAATCACACTATATGGGTGTATGTGTTCTTAATTAGTCTACAATCTAAATTAGGTGTGGTATGTTGCAAAGTTAGTATATTAATAACAGTTTCATCGGCTAACATGAAACAACTTTAATAGATTTTAGGACTATCTATAAATTTTATCTATAAATCAAGTATAGCCAGCTTGTGCTTTTACTTCGTTGTATGTGCCAATTTTTTCTCAACCTTACGCATTAACGATCTCATTGACTCTAATTGTCAGGCAGCGTAAATAGGCTAAATGTTGTACTAGGTATATGAATGAAGTATTACTAGCTTAAGATTGAATAATTTGGTTGTTTTAATCAATCTTATTAACTGTCATTATGATAGAGAAAGGATAGTTTTTAACCGTCTTAATTTTACGCTCACTAATCAAGTATTACTCCGCTGTGCTTAGATGTACTCTACTTTAACGTATTCATGATCTCATGAAATCTAATTATGCACTGATTGAATGGGCTAAAAAATTGCTTCTATTCTAAATTTTAGCCTCAATTTCTAATTACTTAGAATTAAAATTTTCATTAACTTTAACGCATTCATAATCTTGTTGACTCCAATCAGGGAACAGACTTAATAGGCTTCATGTTGTATTTATTAATCAAGTATTATAAGCCGAAATAATTTCTTCTTTAATGGGGATTGAATTATGTTTTTATAAAATGAATAGATGCCGGCCCAGCCTTTTCTTATTCCTTTTTTCCTTTCATTACGTTCTTTGACAGCTGTAGAATAACATTTTGACATTCTAGGATGACTACAGGAAGATTTTAAAATTATTTTTAATACCTATCTGTTATGACATAAAATAGACGGCTGCTATAGTTAGTAAAACCACATCTTTTTAATTAATCGTTTCCATAAATTTTTCATTATCCACTAGGTAAGCCACAAGCCAAGTTCGTCCATTTTAAAGTGCCTTTAGAGAGAATTGAGAAAAGGTAAAATTATGTTTCTGTTTTCGTAGCTGTATCTACCAAGTCTTTCTCAACGAATGAATAGAAACGACTATTAAAATTCATGCTAGTGTGTAATCAATTGAGATTCTAGTTGATTGAACTGCAATTTACTTGCAATTTTACATGATCGACTGCAATAATTTCTCCTAAGTTCATTATAGGTAGTTTAAAAATTTTAAACGAATTGCTTTCAAGTCTTAATAGTTATCTATATTAGCATATACCGCTAATTAGCCATTTCATCGAGAAGATGAAAAGGCACATCTACACTACAGTATATCCCTTAAGTATATAAGTAATTTTAGCAGCTTTGCTTTGCCTAGAGCTTAAGAAGTATAAAATTAAATCGACATTATTTTTATGGTAATTTTATTCTAGATAGTTTGCTTTAGTTAAAGATTAAGTGTACAGTAATTATAAATCTACCGCAGTAGTATTCTATTCTATTTCCTATAATTTAAATTGCTTAAAGTTTGGTGATAGAAAGCGACGATATATCTGCACAACTAATTATTCAATTTTATTTTAACCGTAATTGTTTCTCATCATCTCTGGAATTTCAGAAGATCGGATTCAATATATTCTGGACGTATTTTAAGACCGCTGATCTACTTTTACCTGCATATTTTCTCATATCAAAGATACCTCCTATTTCTACGCTCCTTTCTATTCATTTATCAAGAAAATTGAATTCTAACCTATTCCATTTCAGACTTATTAACTTGATTTTGATTGAAATCTTTAAGCTACTAGCCTCTCAATTAAATTTTGATTCAGAACTGTCTCTATTATCAATCAACAACTTACAGAATTAAATTTATATCTTAATTCGAACTCTATCCATAATTATCTATTCCATTGGCTTGGATTATAATTCAATACTGTGGTACTCTATTCAAGATCTTTATTAATGGCTACTCAATCTTGTTTACGGATCAATTTTATCGGTTGTTTTGCCGTTGTCTTATTATTAATCATGACTCGAAGTCAATCATCATTGACAGCAGCCGCAGAACCTTCTCAAATCATGTTGATGTCTGCTGATGAAACTTTAACATCTTCGTTAATATGTAAGTTTGTCATGAATGCTTTAACTGCATTTAGACGGATAAGATCATGATGGCATACAGGATTAGCATTTATCTGAGGTGCTAACTAGAATGAAAATGGTTCCTTAATCTTCTTTTTATTGGTTTTTGAATATCTTTCAATTTTATTGGTTTATTTATAGTTTTTTCTTTAGTTGGTTGTCTCCTCTTTTAAGAAAAATTTCATTCCACTTTATTGCTCCTAGTCTTGAATATCCATCTATGCTTAGGAATACTATTGACGTAGTAGATTGTACTATTTACGAAAAAAGATTTTTCAACTTGCCTTCAATACCTCTTTAGCATATTCTGATTGTTCTAACTGGTCGTTTTCCTCTTAATAGATTGTTTCCTCTTTTAAGAGTAACTTCATCTTACTTTATCTATGCCAAACTAAAGCAGAACATCTACCTACATTTAGGAATAGTATAGATGTAGTTGATTGTCTTTTTCTAAGATCATTTCATTTTACTCTATTTGCATTATACCTTACTTCAGCAACGCAACTATCTCAATTCCAGGTAGTAGAAACGAGGTAGATTGCTGCCTTTTCCTAAGATCATTTCGTTTTCCTCTGTTCTCCTTATCCTTCGGCAAAGCATCAATCTCTATTCCAGATAGTATAGAGATGAGGTAGATAGTCTTTTCCGAAGATCGTTTCATTTTACTCAGTTCACCTTATACATCAGCAAAGCGTCCATCTGTCTTCCAGATGGTAGAGATGAGATAGATTGTCGTCTATAAAATTCATTTCTTTCTTTGCTTTCTACCTCAGTAAAACGTCTCACCTACTTTGAGAAATAGCATAGGTAAAATAAGTTACTTCTCCTATATGCACTGTTATATTTTATAAAATGCGAATTTTATGATCTAAAAATCTTCCTGTCTATATCTCACCATGAAATGGAAAATTTTTATCCACCGTGGTATAATAAACCTGAGCAGTTCTAATTGGTTGTAAACGCGTATTAAAATTGAAAGATTTTCTTTCTGACTAATGTCTTCTCACCATTAATTGTAGCTATCCATCGTTTTGATTATTCTACCATAGCGAGCGAATTTTCATCAGATATCATGACTACTGCAACTAAAGGTTAGTATCTCGGACATTTATTGGATGTTGATCCTTTTAATCCACAATAATAACCATGATTCTTGTCTTTTGTCATTACTGACTAATTGAAGGAGCAGTAATTCAAGCCAGTAGTGTTACTATCGGTAAGTTATAGATTCTACTAATGAAATTATCTTGCTGTTAAGAGCTATGCTTGAATTGATCTTTTTCTACTAACACTTCTTACTTATACGCATACAACAGAAACTATTGCCTCAACAACTGTCGTAACTACAATTCCAACAACACAACCAACACCTGCAGCAAGTTAGTAAAATCAGCTATAGTGAATAATTCTGAGTAAGAGGTTTAATCGTTTATTATATTACTATGAAAAGACAGTAACTGTACTATTTATTAGTCATGCTACGTTATAGTAATTCCGTTGTTAAAAAGAAATAAAATAAGTCTGAGTAACATAGGACGTGAAGTTGTTCATAGTATTTTTATGGAAAGGTAGCAATTATACTTCAATTTTATCGCAACTGTGCTATATTTTAGAAAGAAAGGAACAATTTTAACAGTAATAGCACTTGTTTTCAGCATTGTTATGAAAGACAGCAGCTACATTGCTAATACAATATTATCCTATGCCATAGTAGTCTTGAAGTAGCTTTTAAAAGAAGATTGAATCGTTGTGAGGAAAAAGCAATACTAAATTGTGTTATGGGAAATGTTAACTTGTTCCTAGCATTGCTATGAAAGACAGCAGCTACATTGCTAATACAGCAATACGCTATACTATAGTAACCTTGAAGTAGTTTAAAAAGAAAACTAAATCGTTACGGGGAATAAAGAATATTAAATCATGTAATAGAAAATGCTAACTTGTTCCTAGCATTGCTACGAAAGACAGCAGCGATATTGCTAACGAAGCTATTCTATAGCAGTCTTGAAGCAGTTTTAAAGAAGATTGAAGATTGAAATCTTTGAGCAGTTGTGATGTATAAGGGAATGTTAATCATATAGCAGGAAATGCTAACTTGTTCTTAGCATTACTATGAAAGAGAGCAGCTACATTGCTGAATCTGCAACATACTACGTTAAAATAGACTTAAAGTAGTTTAAAAGCAGATCACATACAAGGAGATATCCTATTTATAACAATAATAGTGTATGCGATAAGTGGATATAGTTGTTAGTAATGGTTTATTATATATAGCCTAGATTTAGTTTTAGAGAAGAATAAATAATTTTTAGTAATAGAGAATGTCAAGTTGTTCATAGCAATACAGTGAAAAAGCAACAGCTTGTAAAGTAAAGTTAAGCTATGTTATAACAGTCTTGCTGTGATTTTTGAGAGGAATAAGTCTGAGTAACAAGAAACGCCATTCACAGCATCACTATGAGAAGATGGCGGTGATACTATTGGTATGTTAAAGCGGTTTTGCTACGTTCTTTTGAGAGAGAGGGATCGCTCTGAAAATAGGGGCATTAAGTTGTTTAAGGTATTATTATCGGACGATTCACATCGCGCTTATACTTATAGTTATATTTGATTATAGCAGTTCGCTGTGATGAATAGTTCTGAGTAATAAGGAAAAGTTATTCGTAGCATTGCTAAGGGATGATGGGATCTATAATATTTGTGTAGTAGCGCTAGATTATAGCAAGTTTATTGCAGTTTTATAATGAATTTGAATTACTTACCTTAAAATCGTTTTCTTCCAAGTCCATCAATATCTTGAATATTAACATAAGACCATATATAGCTTTATAAGTTAACACATTTCCTATTGGAAATAAGATCATGATTGCTAGTCTGCCCTAGATCATCTATTTTTCCTATCAATTCTTTCCTATGACTTATTTGCTGATACTGATCTATTTTTGCACCATTTCTCTATTTTAGCCACTAGGATACCTTGTAATGGTCAATGCCATGCGAATGCTACCTGCCAAGGCTCGGGAGGAAATGAAAGATGCGAATGTGAATCTAGCCTAGGATATTATGGAGACGGGATTACATGTACAGGTAGAACAAGAATCAATAATTTGAATCCTTTTTTAGTTTACAATTCTGTATACAGCATCTAAGTAACAGTTTAAGGACTATTTATATTGTTATAGAATTTACTGACGATCTACGCATATTTTATCTCTTGCCCCAATTAGAAAATAAATGCATTACTAATCCTAATGCCTGTGGAGTCAAGGCTACATGTTCCAATACTAGTACAAGCTACTTTTGCCAATGCAAATTCGGTTATTATCTATCTTCAACGGTAGGAAACCACCTAACGGTGAAAACGGACAGTTCGTGCTTACGTAAGTTATAGTTATAAACTGGAAGAAATTTTATCTATAAGAAAGAGACCGATAGATCAAAGTAATCCCACTTTTAATATGCGACATAAATTTTGACTAAATAATACGGATGCTGCTCTAGTATTAGCATTGATATAGCTTAAAGATTCATTAACGTTTATTTTTTTTTATTGAAAGCGACACATAATCGATAGCTAGAATTAAAATAAACTATTTCTAATGACAAGATTTTTAGTCACTTATAATGTCAGAAATGGTAATAAATATCGATATGAACACGATGGAAAAAATGACAATTACTGTAGATAGCTCCATTTTTCTGTAATTATTTTAGCTAATTTCTCAGTTCCCTATTATCATATAGAAGATACTTTATATTATGAAAAGATATGTGAATGAGAACAAACATTATCATATTAAACATTACTGGATTAGTTTGACGTAAAGGGAATATAAAGCATCTTGACTAGTTCTATCAAGGAAAATAAATCATTATCTTAGTGTTTTGATTTAAATTGTAACTATATATCCAGAGAAGTTAATGATTCAAAAAGGTTCAAGAAAGCAGTAGCAACTTTTCCTTTACTAATCGATAAAGTATTCATATTTGTAATCAATCTGAGCTATTAAATAGTTGTTTGCAATCTTTAAATAATACATAGTTGTCGGAAAAGACATCTAAATCGATTAATTTGCAATTTTTGTGCGTAGTTACTTTATACGAGTACGTTAAGTTAAAACTTTCAAAAAATATTTCCATTTCATAATATTAAGAAAGATGCCGCTGCACAAGTTGTAGAAAATTAAATTATACATTTAAGAAATGTCAGGGAATGACATGTGCAGGGATTGAGAATATTTCTTTTACCTACGTTGATAAATCGAGCTATGATACTTTCATTTTGGAAAACAGTATTACTATCATGATAACTTATTAAAATTCGATCATTCCACGAGTTAGAAAGTTCATTAACTATAAATGAGACGTTCATTTTAATGTTTGGCCATTATAGAGGAAAAAGCGATGATAATATCATAAATCCTAATATTTAATTTTATCAAGTAGAATCAATCTTCATCTCGCTAACAGATATAAATATCCATGGCATGTTATTAAAGATAGATACTATTAATAAGAATAGTAAGCATTTACAGTATATCAATGCCTTATCTTCATGTTAATTGAGTAAATAGTGATATTATAATGAATCTTCAATTTCATTAAGCGACAGTTCAAGTAAAATTGATCTATTCTATTTTCGGGCTATTAAAGTAAAGTATTAGCTACGTACATGAAATATGTCATACTCACGACGGGCCAAATAATTATGAATTCAATTATAATTTCAGTCGGACTGACATATAATGGAGAAATTGGCTTTAAGAATGCGTACGGTCCATCTTATACCCCCATCAGTAATTCTAATGTAACTCAACTATTTTCTATACTGAAAGATATGGTAAGTAAAATATCACAACTAGAAGATGTCCCCCAAATGATTCAAATATACCATAAATCATTTACTATTAAGTTGACATCTTGCTATCTTATAAGTAAATGTTAATATTACTGCTTTCTGTATCCATATAACCTTTTTATTATCTAATCACAATAATTGCAGATTAACAATGAAAGTAAGTATATAAACTTTAATTAATTTACTTGGAATATAATAGATTCAGCAAGTACTCAATACAAATTCAACTACAAAGGGTCGTTATCATGCGATCGATCTCACTTCTATTGGGTAAATCGAGTTAGTTTTACTCTATGTATGGGTATAAACGTAAATAAGTAGCAGTAACATACAGAGAGACAGTAGTAGAAATGATGCAGTTTAGATAAGAATTAAATTAGAACTTATAAAAATTTTATAGATATAGATCTTATAGAATGATAGGATATCTATTTCTTTTCCAATACCTTACGATATGCTTTATCAAATTAATACCTTAGGAAAAGAGATCCTAATAATCTTCTTCTGCGTTATCTGCTTGTCATGAAGAATGGAAGCGATTATCTTCAGCCGGACTTCCTTAGTAAAGTACTGAAAGAAAAAATTCGAGATGTTGGACCACTAACCGCAATTACTTTTTCATTTAGCGGTAAATCTATTTGCAACTATCATACTTAATTTAGATACAAATAATTTTTCAACTTTATATTAATATCTCATAATTTACTGTATTAAATTTAAATAATGCTATTATAGAAATTATTGATTACTTGAAAAACCTACAAGTTACAATCACTTAGTAGTTATTGTTTTTCTATTTGATTAATATCGGTGGTTTCAACTTGCAATTATAACGTAGTTATAAATTTTATTTAATGATGTTAATTTCTTATGTAGTCTACGTTTGTAGTATCATTCATCTTTTCATAATAAGCGATTAATATTGCACCTATTACAGGTAATCTTTATCGAATTAAACGTCTTAAACGGTTAGCCTATTTTTATAGTAATATGCTGTCAGTTAGTCTGACTATACCAGTATCAAATATTACTACTTTCCAAGAGAATAATAATACTGTAGATAGATATCTCATAAAATATTTTACTTCAAAGCATAAATAATTATGCAAGGTATTAGTAGTTTTCAAATATTAACAAAATATATTTATGTTTTTTTAGATGCTAATGAATGTGAAAATTCTGAAATTAACACATGTAACTCAACTATTTCAACTTGCATTGACCTGGTGGGAAAATTTGTTTGTGAATGTCGGGCGAATTATTACGCAAACAATACCAATAATGGTTGCATTGGTACGTTATTATACGCTTGTGTATGAGTATACTGTACATTTCTTACTTTGCTCTTTTGCTTACATTTTTTAAGTTATCGACAAGAATTATTAATTCTCTTTAACAAATAGTTTGAGCATTTTATTTCCTTTTCGTTTATTCAGATCTGAGTTTAAATTCTCATTTTATACCATATAACACAGAAAGTTCATTACGCGAACTATTTTTCTTATGTAGAACCCGATCTATGCCGAGATTTTAATAATTGTAGAAATGGAGCAACATGTCTAACTATCAATCGTAAGGTGGTTTGTAGGTATGTTGTCTTAGCTATTAAAATAGTGCACTCATACATCTAAGTGAAAATCAGGGGCTTGCATACTGATGAGTATATATCCTCTGTGAATATTAACTTAAAATGAACACTGTATGTATAAATAGCTTTAATACTTTATTTATGAATATGTTTAGATGCAGTTTCTTGTTCAAAGGAAAGCAGTGCCAATTTTTAACCGGTAAGTTGATAAATTTATAGATGTACCCGTCTACATGGATCGTAGTAAATTCGGAAGGTTTATTTTCGCGTATGCCTGTTTGAGTTAGAATATTTGCAATCAGTATTAATTAAATATATAGTAGCTAGGTATCAGGTATTTATTTTAAGGTTTAGCATACTAGTGTATTGTTGCTATTATTTAATAAATAGTGTATTGACTGTAGATAATTTTGTCGTCATTAATTTGTATAATTCTATATCATCAGTAAAATTGATGACTCATTCTAAATAAAATTCATCCTAACATATAGCGCAAAAAATATCATATTTGAGTCGTAGTTTATAATAACAATATTTATCTTCTATGAAGCATAAATCAAATTGAACATAGCTATTTGCTTAAGATGATAAAGAGCAATGATAACAATGTACGATAGTTTAAAATGCATAATTCTAGCATAATTATGTTACTATGTTAAGGCTTGTTATGGTTTGAAATTATCTATCTGATAAAGAGAGGACATCAAACAGTAAATAAGACAAATAAAGTTTACCCATCAATTTACTTTGTGAGATCTTCTTTAAAGTAATTAAATATATACTATAGTTTTAGCATGATCATGCATTAACCGGGTTTATCAAGATTGATATCTGAATGCTGTCATAGTTAAGCTATAAGTTGGAGGGATTTATAAAAGCTAGTATCAAATATAAATTTATGCTCCGAAGGCTACCATAATATGATCATTTCATTATTTCAATGTAGAAGGCGGAATTGTGGTATTAACTGCCTGTGGAGGTTGCATAGTTCTTATAGCTTTGGCTATCTCATTCGTTTATTACTACAAACTGGCAACACAGTAAGACTAGTTAATTATCGTAGTCATTATAGTGCTTTATAGGATTCAATTTATCTTTCTTAAATTAATTTATATGATATTTTAGCCCCTAAATGTGTAAATTCTAGTTAATTTATTGATTACTCATGTACAGGCCCAACAGTAAAGCAAGGTATGAAAACACCGGAAGACGACGAAGTTTATTACCTAATTCTGATTCACCGCCATCACCACAACGTCCTTTAAGTGCTCAGTTAGGAGATGAAAATTCAGCAGCTTTAAGTGGCTCAACAGTACCTCTAACAACGAATGAAAGCCAACCGAGACATACTGGTGCATATGAAACCGTTGAAATGGTAAATATACTTGTATAGGATTTTTCTGTAGCTTAGAAGATATCTTAATTTACATATATGACTCCATAATCTGATTACGATATATTTATCTATTTCGCGGTTATTGTTAGTATATTCATGGCAAAATATAGGAGAGAAAAAAGCAATAGCTGTACCTTTTAAACTATGATTACTATGCATGAAAGCAGAAAAATTTTTTGTTCTAACAAGAAACAGTAGTACATAATACATAATTATGCTACGATAACCGACGATAGGATGTATTTAAAAAAAAATTTTGTTTATATTTATCGTATTATTATCTCAGCAATTGACATAAGTTGAGTAAAATGCTTGCGAGCTAATAAATAGTATACTGTAGATAATTTCTTACTTACGACATAATTGCATTCCAATAATATATAAATGATGATAGTAATCGCTTGGCTTTAATGATCCAGATAAAGCTCAGAAGTGCAATTTGGCTCTTATAACATAACTCAATGCCTATTGTCTTATTATTTTTCTCCACATAGGCTCAATATAGCAAGCAAACTATCGATCTGTAGAAATGATGTACGTATAATATTTATCATAAGGTTACCTTAACGATATATCGATAAAGTGAATTATGGTGAAACACCATTTTGTATTAGTAAATGATGTATTACCAACTATTAATTCGATAATTATAATTAATGTTTGGGTTTAATGACGTGATTATCTGTTAATACGATTTTTATTAATAATCCGTAGAACGAAGACTGAAATTAATGCACTGGACAGTGAAATATTATTAAAGACTAGATAAATAGTCAAGACTTTATGGAAAGGATATTAACAAGATTACCCTGTCTTTATTTCTCGTAAAGGCAGAAAATAGCTATTAATTATTCAATGTACTATAGAGTGGATAATAAAGTTTAATGTATTTCATGTTAAAACTATATCGAATTTTAACAAATTTGATTATACAACTATCTATGACTCATTCTTCTTTTTATCGCAGTTAATCGATATTAAACTGATTATTTACTAAGAGCAAGTATATCTAATTTCAAAGGTATCAAATTGCACTACTGTAAGACAATTACGATAGTAGAATAGTAAATCGTAATTTGGTTGGTATAAGAAAATTTTCAATTTCTATAATGGCTTCAGTTCACGATGAGTTAGATATTGATATTCTCATTTCAATTAGCGTGTGTTAATTTAAGCCTTCTTAACTACTTAATCTGCTAAGCTTGGAGTATTTTTTAGTGTTGAACAATGTTAGTTTAGCTAAATTTAAAATATGAATTAAATTTTAATAGCCTATGTGAAAGAAAAGGTAAAGAAAGACACTTATCACTTAAGCTGGATATATATGAGTAAACCTATTATTTTTGCTCTTAAAAATATTCAATCTAATGCATCTGAATGCTGAGATATAATCCTTCCTACTTGGCCTTACGTATTTGCTTTCACCGAAAGGTTGCTATTATGGAGCTATTATAAAAATTGTGTAGTTTAATGGCTAATTTTTGAATTACTATGTGTGTAACTACGTGTATTTAATATTTACCAATTAATCATCATATGCAATCGTCTTCAACTTTATTAGCGCTATTGATAACATGCGGATATTATTATTATTCGTACCTATAGATACGCTATTGATCATGACTGTAAACGTTCTTGCTTATTTACTGTAACTGTGTGCTCTTGGGATTAAATTTCCCAAATTAGATTGTGTAATATCTCTTTTGTCCAGATTTTCAGTTAAAATTCTCTTACTTTATCAAGCTGTTTAGCCGAATAGTGTTTCATCTACAGTATCGTGATTTTATTGCTAAATTTCTAGAATTAAGACCGCTATTGGATAATTATATTCCGGTCTTTAGACTTATGTAATGGTGAATAAAAATTATACTGTATCTGAGAATCTATCTATTGTAATAGTAATGTCATGCCTATTCATTGATCATGATTGCTTTATAGTGGTGTACTAATTGTAAGTTTGGACGTTAGCTTAAACGAATAATTCGTGTACCTTTCCTTACAATATTCTTGTACACAAACTGTAAAAATTAGTCACGTAACCATATTTGACATAGATTCACATATGTGAAATATGAATTTGTAAAGGGATTAGATCTATAATATCCATTAGATAGTACTGTATACAGTATGTGCAATAACTATGGTGATTTGTACTGTAGGTGTGATTCTGATAATGTAATGCTAGGTAATCCCTTTTATTGATGCTGCATTATAAACGTGTGTATAGTTTTATGAGCAATAATTTCTGCTCGTACATATGTCTATACAGGTAAATATCGTAGATTAAAACTTGAAAAATAAAACAATTTTAGCTTATGAGCCTAGAGTTAGATACAGTATCTGAAAAAACACTGAAATATGATAAGTAGCAAAATCGATATTTGTTTGCATGTCTATTCAATACAAGCGCGTTTTAAGCTCATTATGAATTTTGTTTTGATAAAATTGATCACCTGGACCTAAGGCTTTGCAAAAATTATAATCTTACAAAATTAATATGAGTGGATGCCAATTAGTAAAATCTTTACGACGGACATGAAGTGAGAAAGTATGTTATTGTGTAAGTATAACTAGTTGCTTATGTATAGGTTACAGCCAATATCCGAAGTTTAAGAGATTATAGCTAGTATGTGTCGCTAATGATGCTAAACTAACTTTGATGCAGAGATAAAAGTGAACTAGTAACGTGCAAAACTAATTTTTATTAAAAAATCGCCAGCATTCGTTAACATTGCTACGGTACCTAATGCATTTTAAGTTGCTAAGAAAGCAGTTTATATTACTTTCTTTATGACACCAGTAATAATAGCACCTGATTATTTTTGAACTCCCATGCGGATTATTAATGTATACTTAGTGAATAATATGTTAAATCTTTACAATAGATAGATACCACACCCTAATCAAGTTATTGACGTAAATATAACGATAGATATGCCTATCTGCTGTGGTAATCTTAAAAGTTACCGTAATTATTAGCAAATCTATATATATCTTCACTCCAACTACAGTAATTCGCATTCCATGGCGAATCATAACTAATTATCTACAATTCAATAGTTAACACTATTGCATGATTACGTAAAAGGAAATATACTATTTAAATTATAATCAATGGTATAGCAATGTAATGTACAAAATACGAAATTTGTGAGATTCTTAAGTAGGTTTAATCGAGAGAAAGACCATAATACCTAAGTTAGATTGGAGACCAGATTTCATTTATTTATGATTCTGTAATTATTGCTTGAAGCTATATCATTATCGTCTTTAAAGCATACTAATATTAAAAAGGGATTTTAGATATACGCGTATTTTAAATCATGGTACAGTATAAAAGTAATTGATGTGTCATTTGTCTAAATTGATAGGTAGTGCAAGTATTTTATGCCTAGGGCTAGGATTAAAAAGGCCTATTCTCGCAATTAATGGTAGTATCAATCACTTATATAAATCTACTGCTCCACAAAATTATTATTTCATATCTTTAAAGGAGAATGTTAAAGTATCATTAATTGAGATGCAAATAAAAATAGGTCAATTATTTGATCTAATTTCTGAAGCTTTGCAATTGATGTTAGACCATGCTATTAATCATCAGTTCTATCTGACATACAATTACAAGTCCATAAATTAGGTCTTGATCAGTGATATTATTGAAGTAAAATTGTAATTATGAACGAAGATTTCGGCGTTGTATTGTTGCTTTCAAAAGCTATATTGTATTGCGATCCGGTACTTGGATAATAATTTCCTATCTCTTGTCATGATTATATTAATTCGTGAATTATGCTTAGACATGAATGTTATAATGTACTATGATAGAGTAATCATTTTAGTATCTTAATCAGTTCCACTCTTGATTTTTGAATCATCTCATTCATATGCTTTGGCGGGCGCGGCACCATATGTTGATTGCGATAAATGGAATATGCTGCAGCGGTGACGGACTCCACGGAAGTAGTGAACAGTGTATTTTAGGAACTATCATCACTATCCAAAATATAGGGTACATTCAAGAATCTAATGCCACCGTCCCGTTACTTGATCCAAGATCGTTGATCTAGATAGCTACAAATAAATATTATTTTCTACTGATAAGGCTGTAATTATCGTAATAATGATTTCTTTTCATTATTTCTCTTAGATAATAACGGGCGAGGTTGGGGTAATTATCGACGCTCATACCGTAATAGATAAACTATAGACTATTTTTTTAATGTTTTTGGAAATTATGATCATTAATAACAAGATTACATCAAATATGCAAGATCAATTGGAGATCAGGTTGAAATATCTAATAAGATATAAATTTGACATAGAAGCGAGGGCACTGTATCAAAATTACAGATACTCCTATATTTTAACCAATGGATAGATACGTTACAGAGCAAGATAATTATGTAACTAAGATTCTTGGAGTTCTATCGTATAGACTATAATTTAATTATAGAATAATAATTGTTCCATAATTTAAAAGGTTGCGGTCTATATGCTTTTCGTAACAGGGCTTTAATTAGAAATTATTTTTGATTCTACGCAAAGTTGTCTGTTTGCGGCATATTTACTCCTATTTGTTATTATTCATTGGTTGTTTAATAGAGCACAAAGTCTCAGCTGGATATTTCCTAGATTGAGCTGCCTTCTCAGCCAATTGATAGTCTCGACAAGATTTTTCACGTGATGGTACACGCAGATCTCCACTGTTCTGAGAATCAATCGGGAGAGGCAGGAAAAACTGAGTTATACTTATACGTATGCTCGTTTGGCATGCATATCCATTTAAGTAGCTTAAAATTTCTTGCTAATAACCCTTGTAGTTGTTGAACGTGTTATATTGAAACTATTGATAAAGGGAACGATAATTTATTTCTTAATAAAATTAAACAATAAATTATCAAATGATGGTAAGTACTTACTTTACCAAAGCATATATTATAGGAACTTTTAAGTTGATGTATAGCTCGCGATCCCAGAGTAAAAGTTGTATCTAGTTATTTTAGTATTCCTACGTCAAAAATATAGATAAAGGAAATGATAATTTACTACTAACTAAAATTGGCACAATAAATTTTGCTATCAATGATTGTAGACCCGTACTTTACCGGAATATACACTTTAATAATTACTAGTATCGATTGCTGATGTTACTAGTATAAGCACATACATTGAAGTTGAATGATCCAATATTTAGATCTAGTTTTATTTCATGGCTATGATAGTCATAAACATTTGATATTTTAGTTCTAGGTTGTCAATACACTTTAGTCTTACCGTGCTAACAATTTCTTTACAATAAAGTTTTAGGAGCCACGACAGTTCAACGTTGGCACTGTCATGTTATTGCAGATTATATCCTGCTATGAGCAGCATCGTATCCCGTCAGGAAAACATTTCCGTGTTTATCACGATTTAAAACAGGCATTGCCCTGACGCTGCCAAATAAATGAGAACAAAAATCACTTCATAAAATAAAATATATCAAGATGATAAACAATAAGGAGGATTATAAAACTAGAAGCGTAAA